AAATTTAATTTAATTAATTTAAATTTAATTAAATTTAAATTTAAAATTAAATAAATTTAAAATAATTAATTTAATATAATATAAATTTAATATAATATAAAATATATAATTTTTATATAATTTATATAATATATAATTTATATAATTTTTATAATTTATAATAATTTTATAATTTTTTGTTTAATAATTTAAGAACAGGGTAAAATAATATTTTTCTTTATGGGAAGCCATTTACTTTCACTCCCTAACATACATGGTTAATTTTATTCGCAATAAGTTATCTTTTAATAAAAAGTGAAACTTAAAAGAGTATCTGGGTGGATCAGTCAGTTAAGCATCCAACCCTTGATTTTGGCTCAGATCATCATCTCAGGTCATGAGATCAAGCCCCACCCTCACTGGGCTCTGTGCCAGGCATGGAGCCCGCTTAATATTCTCTTTCTCCCTTTGCCCTTCACTGCTCCTCCACCCCCGACTTGTGTGTGCTAGCTCTCAAAAAAAAAAAAAAAAAGTGAAACTTACGAGACTTCTGAAAATATCAACTTTTTTTTTTTTTTTGGAGAGAGAGAGCATGAACAGTGGAGTGGGGGCAGGTGTCGGGTAAGGGGTAGGGGGAGAGAGAGAATCCCAAGCAGGCTCCATGTCCAGCAGGGAGCCTGAGTCTGAGCTTGATCTCAAGGACCCTGAGGATCATGACCTGAGCTGAAATCAAGAGTCTTATGCTTAACTGGTTGAGTCACTCTGGTACTCCTTTTTAATTTCTTTCAAAATTTTAATTTTTGGAGTTTAAAAATGTGAATATGAGAATCTAGTCATAGTATTAATTAAGTAAATTTCAAAATTAACAAAATAGTTGCTTTCTAGCTTCTATACTAGAAGTTCTGTTGAGAAGAAATTCGGCTCTCTTCACTCAGGTCCCAGACAGAAGAGCTGGTATAGCAATGACAAAAGTATTCTCTGGTTATCCCTCTTAATGAAGAAACACAGTTCAAACTAAACCAGAAAATGAATGAACAGAAATAAACAGTGAAGGGCTCAATCACAGTGAACTGAGAGTTAAAGAGGAAGAGAAGCAAAGGCTGTAAAAGGAGCAAAAGCAGGGAAGAGACTTAAAAGGCAGCAGAACCCAGATCCGTCTCTATTTCTCTGGGAATAAATATTTCCTTGTTATCATTTGTCATTAAATACTACCCCACCATATGAATTTGCTCTCAAAGTTCTACTCATCCTTCATCATACCTTTCAATTTAGCAAGAAAAGGTAATGTCCTATTTTTATTAACTTAGGAGACAGGCTTTTATTTTTATTCTTTGCATCTCATCACAATCATAAGAGTATTGCTTACAAATTCTCTCCAATTTGTATTTCTGGTATAGACTCAGTAGAACTTTATGGTTACTAATAAAATAAAACCAAGGGGTGAATACAAGATTTGGTCTACATACAAACTGATTATTAAGTAATATAATTTTTCTTGAACTATATACATTTTTTACTAGGTAGTTTGTTTAGAAACTATATGCAGAGGCCTTCTAGAGTTTAATTACATTTCTTACATCAAGGTTACTCTTAAAAGAACCTTAAATTCTGTCTAATAGACAAATAATATTTAATTTTATAGTCATATTAGTCAAACACATGAAATAACAATTATGTGACCTATTTGGATAAAACTCAAATATTGCTAGTTTTATTTTAATGGAAATAACTAAGTTACACGATCACCTTCACATATTTTTCATACTTTAAAGAAAACATTCATACTACTTACTGTCTCTACTACCTCTAGCCACTTCTCACAGTGTCTGTGTACATAAGTTCCATAAGACTTTACAAAATGGACAATTGGAGCTGTTTCTCAAATACTTTTCAAGCAAACAAGCAAAGTCATTATTAAATGTATAAAGAACCAAACAGTCATGGGGAAAGTAGTGAAAGATGCATGGAACACAGGGAAAACAGAGAGACAATAAAGAGTCTCTTTTTTATGACTAGTTAGTCATGGTCTTTCAGTCTCTTATTGGAATAACTAATAACTGAACAAAATACTTTTATTGGAGGAAAATCCTAGAAATTATTATAAAACACAATTACCCAAATGTTCTTAAATACAAATAAGATTAAAACATCTAGATAATATTAGAATTTTTACAACTGTTTGTTAAGAACTGATGAAAGAAATGCAGAATAATGGCAGTTCAAGAAATCTCAGCTACTAAACAGAAAACCATTCCTTTTAAGTATTTGACATTTTGTTCATAAATCTGGCTGAACGGTTCTGCTCTTTATTCAAGCTACAGTGGTTTAGGCAGAGTTCGTTTCTCTAGATTCCTAACTACCAACAGTATTATTTCTAGCTATTAGCAGTTTTCCATCATGAATAGGACAAGAGTTGTCAAAACTTCTCCAGTTTGGCTTAAAATGTTCCTGCTCTTGCCAAGGGTCACCTTACCTCCAACAGCCATGAAAGAGTAAGTACCAAATATGGGAGGAAAGTGTGAAAAAGAGAATTGATGAAAAGTGAAATAAAGAATAGAGGCTTGAAAAATAAATGGGACAAAGAATATGATGAGATAAGCAAAACCCTCTTTCCAGAACTCCCGTACAGACTATTGTAATGAAAACTTGCCTGTACCAACCATGCGTATAAGGAGAAATATTAAACCCAAACTGGCCATCAAATACAAAATTATCTACAATTTCTATCACAGTGCTGAACATTTAGCATGTGCTCAGGGAATAAAAACTAGGTTGTATCACTCACCTTATCAAGTTCACTTGTCAGTTTTTTATTTTCTTCAGTTAATAATACTTTTTCTCGTTCATACTGTTGTTTGAACTCATTTTCAAATTCTTCCCTTTCACTTTGACTAACATGATTCAAAACATAAGAGGGGGGAAAAAGGCAATGGAATTAAAGTTAAAATAACATATCCCTGATTGGCTACTGTACCATGTGCTTTTAATTCTGAAAAATTACATATCTTAAATGTACCAAATCCCAATCTTCCCTCTTAAAATTAAAAGTCACATTCCTTTCAATTAACAGACTTGTATGCCTAACAATGGCTACTTTGCTTTTCATTTGAAAATCTGAGAAGACATCTGTGATTTGTAGACTTCATGACTGTGCTCATCTTATTTGGTTTTATATGTACCAGAAAGTATGGGAAAATGAAGAGGTTAGGGAAAGAAGGGAACACGTGAGCCCCAACATGTTTCCTTATACTCAGCTCAAGATTGTTAGCAAACCCTCAGTGAAATTTCCAATAATTCTCTCGATATATTCAGCCCTTCCTTCCTTCTTACCTAAGTACCTACCTATACACATATGCATATATACACAACAAATTTAATATTATAAAACTTATTTAAAATGATAGTTCTGAGAAGCACAACTGATTCACCCTTAGAGGTAAACACAGTGCTAACAGACTTTTTGGAAACCACCTAACGGAGAAAGAGGAATCAGTTTTCAAACACTGAGTTGAAATGCAGATGAAGAGGCTTATATTCTAAACAATCAAAGGTCAATGAAGAAATCAAATAAATTAAAAAAAAAATGAGAAGACAAATGAAAAATGAAAACTCCATGGTCCAAAATCTTTGACACAGCAAAAGCAGTTCTAAGAAGGAAATATCCAATGATGCAGGCCAACTCAAGAAATAAAAAGCTCAAATAAACAATTTAACTTTATGCCTAAATTGGGGGAAAAAAGACAAATGAAATCTAAGGTGAGTAGAAGAAAGGAAATAATAAAGATCATAGCAGAAATAAATAGGGATTTAAAAAAAAAAACCCATAACGAAACCAAGAACTGGTTCTTTGAAAAGATAAACAGAACAGATAAACCCTTATACCCAGACTCATCAAGAAAAAAGACTCAAATACATAAAATCAGAAACAAAAGAGAACTGAACCACAGAAATATAAGAATAAGAGAATACTATGAAAAATTATATGCCAACAAACTGAACAAACTACTTCTAGTTTTTCTGGGATAAATTCCCAGAAACACACTATCCTCCAAACTGAATCAGGAAGAAACAAGAAAGTCTGAACAGACCAATTACTAGTAACAAAATTCAATCAGTAATCAAAACACTTCCCCAAAATAAAAGTCCAAGACCAGATGGCTAAACATGTGAATGCCACCAGACATTTAATGAAGAGTTAATACCTAACTCTTCTCAAACTCTTATAAAAAATAGAAGACGATAGATATTTTCCAAATACATTCTATAAGGCCAGCATTACCCTGATACCAAAACCAAAGACACCATAAAAAAAAGAGAACTACAGGCGAATACCCCTGATGAACATGGATATAAAAATGTTCAACAAAATACCAGCAAACCACATTCAACAATATATTGAAAGGATCATTCAGCATGATCAAATGGGATTTATTCTGGAATGTAAGGATGGTTCCATGTACACAAATCAATCAACATCATATACCACATCAAGAAAACAAAGGATAAAAACTGTGTGGTCATCTTAAAAGATGAAGAAAAATCACATGACAAAATTAAACTTTCTATTCATGCTAAAACCCTCAACCAAGTGGGTTTAGAGGGAACACACCTCAATATAATAAAGGCCATCTATGAAAACCCCACAGTTAACAACCCCCATAATGGAGAAAAACTGAGAGCTTCTCCTGTAAAGTCAGAAATAAGACAAGGGTGTCCACTTTCACCACTTTGATTCAACATAGTACTAGAAGCTGTAGCCACAGCAATTACAGAAAAAAAAAAAAAAAAAAAAAAAAAAGGGAACATGAGGACCCATACTGGTAAGGAAGAAGTTAAACTGTCACTATTTGCAGATGACATACTATAACTAGAAAGCCCTTAAGACTCCACTAAAAAAAACTATTAGTAATAAATGAATTCAGTAAAGTTGCAGGATACAAAATTAATACCCCGACTGGTAGCATTTCACTATTACACTAATAACAAAGTAGGAGAAGGAGGAATTAAGAAAATAACTGCATTTACAATCACACCAAAAAGAATAAATAAAATAGCTAGAAATAAACTTAAGGTGGTGAAAGACTTGTACTCTGAAAACTATAAAAGAAACTGAAGATGATATAAACAAATGGAAAGATAGTCCATGCTCATGGATTGAAAGAATTAATATTGCAAAAATGTCCATACTAGCCAAAACAATCTACAAGATTCAGTGCAATACCCATGAAAGTAGCAACAGCATGTTTCACAGAACTAGAACATGTAATCCTAATATTTGTATCGCACTACAAAAGACCCCAAGCAGCCAAAGCAATCTTGAGGAAGAACAACAAAGCTAGAGGCATACTACAAAATTTCAGAGACTACAAAGTTGTGGTAATTAAAGCAGTAAGGTACGGACACAAAAATAAACACATGGATCAATGAACAGAGACTCCAGAAATAAATCCACACTTACCAATTAATCTATGAGAAAGGAGTCAAGAATATACAATGGGGAAAATATAGTCTCTTCAATAAATGGTGCTGGGAAAACTGGACAGCCACAAGCAAAAGTATGAAACTGGAGCACTTTCCCACACCATACACAAAAATAAACTCAAAATGCATTAAAGTTCTAAATGTGAGACCTGATAAAATTCCTAGAAGAGAACACAGGCAGTAATTTCTCTGACACTGGCCACAGCAACATTTTTTTAGATATGCCCCCTAAGACAAGGGAAACAAAAACAAAAATAAACTTTTGGGACTTTATCAAGGTAAAAAACTTGCACAGTAAAGGAAACCATCATTAAAACGAAAAGGCAACCTACTGAATGGGAGAAGATATTTGCAAATGACATATCTGATAAGGGATTAAAATCCAAAATATACAAAGAATGTATACAAGTCAATAAAAAAAACCCAAGTAATCCAACTAAAAAATGGGAAGAGGACTTGAATAGACATTTTTCTAAAGATAACATACAAATGGCCAAAAGACACATGAAAAGATGCTCAACATCACTGATCATCAGGGAAATGAAAGTCAAAACCACAATGAGATAGATATCACCTCACACTTGTCAAAATGGCTAACATAAAAAAATGACAAGAAATAAGTGTTGGCAAGAATGTGGAAAAAGGAACCCTCATGCACTGTAGGTGGGAATGCAAACCATCGAAGCCATGGTGGAAAACAGTATGAAGGTGCCTCAAAAAATTAAAAATAGAAATACTGTATGATTCAGTAATACCCAATACCCACTATTGGGTATTTACCTGAGGAAAACAAAACACTAATTTGAAAAGATTATATGCACCCTTATGTTTACTGCTGCATTATTTACAAAGCAAAGATAGGGAAGCAACCTAAGTGTCCATCAATAGGCAAATGGATAAGGAAGATGTGGTATATACATACACAATGGACTATTACACAGCCATAAAAAGGGATGAGATCTTGCCATTTGTGGTAACATGCATGGGCCTAAAGGGTATTAAACTAAGTGAAAGAAGCCAGACCTAGAAAGACAAATACCGTATGATTTCACACACATGTAGAATCTAAAAAGCAAAACAAATGAACAAACAAATGAAAAGCAGAATTAGACCCATAAATACAGAGAACTGATGGTTGCTAGAAGGAAAGGGGAGGATGGGCAAAATGGATGAAACAGAGCAGGAGGGGCAGGCTTCCAGTTATGGGATGAATAAGACACAGAAAGAAAAGGCACAGCTTAGGGAATCTAGTTAATGATACTGTAATGGTGTCGCACAGTGACAGATAGCCGCGACACTGGTGAGCACAGCATAACCTGGAGAGAAGGTGAATTGCCATGCTGTACACCTGAAACTAAGGTAACACCATGTGTCACCTTGTAATCAATTAAAAAAAATTTAAAGAGGCTTATATCTTAGCAGTAAATGAAATTCAGTATGGATCTGTTCTGGGAAATTTCATATGATTAATTCCAAGTCAATAAAGAACTTAAGTAATGGCTGATTTAAAAAATGTAATCTTAAAAATCTCTTACATCACTATATTATAAATGAAATTACATTTTAAATTATAAATTCTGGGAAAATAAACCATCCTGTGTGTACAGGCAAATAGGCCACTTAAAAAAAATTATCTATAGTCAAACTTCAGTTATGTTTGCATCCCAATGTTTATAGCAACAATGTCCACAATGGCCAAAATACGGAAAGAGCCCTGATGTCCACTGATGGATGAATGGATAAAGAAGATGTGTGTGTACACACACACACACACACAAACACACACACACACACACACACAGGAATATTAGTCATCAAGAAGAAATGAACTCTTGTCATTTCTAAGGATGTAGATGGAACTGGAATGTATTATGCTAAGCAAAGTAAGTCAGACAGAAGAAGCACATGATTTCACTCACACATGGAATTTGAAAAATAAAACAGGATCATAGGGGAATGGAAGAAAAAATAAAAGAAGATGAAAATAGAGTGGGAGACAAACATAAGAGAATCTTAACTCTAGGAAAGAGACTGAGGGTTGCAGGAGGGGAGGGTTGGGGGGACAGGATAAGTCGGTGATGGACACGAAGAAGGGCACATGATGTAATGAGCACTGGGTGTTACATACAACTCAGGAATCACTGAATGCTACCTCTGAGACCAATGATACACTCTATGTTAACTAAATTGAATTTAAATGAAATTTTTAAAAAATCATCTTTCTTGATTCAGAAGCAACTCCAAATAACAAACAAGACAAAAACTTGAGAAACTACAAAGAAGCCTTTCAGAAAAATATGTACACAAATGAACTGAGTAAAATTTCTAAGTAAAACTCTATTTTTTCCTACTAGCACTGAAGAATGCTGACGTCTCTTCCATATGAAAACAAGACAAACACACTCTTCCCTGAACCCTAAGTCATGCTTCATTTGCCAATTCCCTGCCTTTCTGTTCACTGGGAACCACCTGGAAGCCTTGACAGGGTGTGCTGTACCCACTTTCTCATTGACTAACTGTTCCTCACTACACAAAATCTGGTTTCTGCTGCACCACCACCCCAAAAACCTGTTCTCACAACCGGCCATGGTCTCATTATCATATTCAATCCACCTGCCACCTTTGACACCGTCGCCCGTTTCCTCCCTCTTGAAATGCTATCTTCTCCTTGCTTCAGTGATGCCACGCCTGGTTTCCAGCCTCCATCTCTGCCCTTGTGGACCCACCTCTTTCTGTCCTTCTGGTAAATGCCCATCCTCCCAGGTATTCCATTCCAGAGCTTGACTTCTCTTTGCACATCTCCCCTGAGCTGGTTCACCCACTGTACCACCTGAGTCCAATTACCTGGTATGCTGATGAACGCCGAATTTAATCTGAAGCTTTTCTGGGCTCCCTTCAACTGCTGACTTGGTATCTCCACAAAGACGTCTCACAGAGCACCTCAAATGCAACACGCCCAACTCAGGAGAGCGCCACACAAGTTCCTACCACCCTATTTACCTTCCTCATACACTCTACTATCTCTTCTCCTTCTCTAGGTGAAAAGCACAGCTCAGCCCAAACCCTCCACTTATATACCTGTTCAAGTACATGGTTTCTGCATTTTTCTCCCCATGTTGGATAATTCCTATCAAATTAAAACATGGTGTTATTTCTCCCATCTAAAAACAGAAACAAAAGGCAAAAATAACTTCTTTTGAGATCAGTTTCTCCTCCAACTACTGCTTCCTTGCACTGCTTGCTTTTAAGAGATTCCAACTACTATTCTGTTTTCCAACTGCTTTCCTTCAAGTCTTGGATCCCACTGTGGGGCTTTCCCCCTCTTGTTCCACTGAAATTGTTTTTATCAAAGTTATCAGTGAGCATCACATTGTTAAATTCAACTGTCACTGCCCGGACCCCTCATCGTACTTGATTCAGACCTCATCTCATGTAACATGTAGATGGATCTGATATGCTTTCATCACGTGGCTTCCAGGAAACCAAATCAGTCCAGTCTTCTTCCTATCATTCTCAGCTGTCCCCTTGGCCATTTCTTCCTGATTTCCAAACTCCCTACTAAAGACTGGAGCATCCCAGCGCTCAGTGCTGGGCCTCTTTTCTATCTACCAATCACTAAGTAATCTCATAGAGTCTGTTTAAATACCATGTGAGTGATAAAATACTCCGAGGATTTTTTCTCTAGCCCTAAAATCCAGGCTGAGCTATCCAATGGCCTACCTGACATCTCTGCGTGGGTGTCTAATGGGCATCTCAAACATAACTGTTTCTCTCTAAATGGTAACTACAGTCCCCTAACTGCTAAGACATCAAACCTCAGTATCATCCTTAATTCCTCCTCTTCCTTTCTCACTCCATATCTAGTCCACCAGCAGAAACCAGTGTCTTTACTTATAAGGAGTATCAGAATCCCAACTCTTCTTACCACCACTCTGCCTCCACCCTAAGCCAACGCACCATCCTTTTGGGCCTGGACTACTTCTAAATCATTTCCAGGCTTTTCTCTTATCTAAGTCAGCCTGGCCTTAACCCAGTAGTCAGAGTAACCATGTTAAAACACAACCCGGTATTTGTCAGTTTTCCACTCAAAATCCTGCAGTACGTCCCTGCAATGGTTTTCTCCCAAACGAATAACCAGAAGTCACCCGTCACAAAGCCTTGCCCGATCTGGTCTGGCTCCCTCTTGTACTCATCTCCTACTCTTCTTTCCCCTTAAGTCTACCTTGGCCATATTGGCCTCCTTATTATTATTATTTTTAATAGACCTATTTTTAAGAAAAGTTTTAGGTTCATAGCAGAGATTTTCCACATGCCCCCCAGCCCCCCAAACATGGGTACAACCTTCCCACAACACCACCCCCAGCAGAGTGGAGCATGGGTTCCATCAGTGATCTTGCAGTGGACGCATCGCCTGGGTTGGGACGTGTTCAACAACACACACACCCATCACAGCATCATGCGGAGGGGCTGTGCTGCCCTGGACATCCTCCCAGACACCTCTGCCTTCTCCCACGCCCTGGCAACCACTGCTCTTTATCCTTCTCCATAGTTTTGCCTTCTTATTATTTTTTTAACAGCCTGTGCTCTGTATAGAGCATTCTTCTCCTCCATCTGTAGAGATGCCTCCCTACTTTCTTCAGCCCTTACTTCAATTACCTTCTCAGCATTCTTTCCCCAGACCAGTCTATACAGACACTTAATTGCCCCCTCAATGCTTCATGGCCCCATTCTGTGCTTTATTTTTTGTTCTGGCATTTATCGTTACCTGATATATTCCATATTTTACTTATTTTGTTTGTAGTCTTTCACCTAAATAAAGGAAAGCTCTGGAAGGACAGAGATTTTGTCTGTCCACCACTACATTCCCAGGGCCTGTAACAGAATAGTTGCTTTTATCCACCAAAGGCCCTAAAATTTTTTTTGTTGAATGAATGGACCAAACTAAATAAATTTTGGCTTCCAATATAAGTAGAGAATAACAAAAGCATATATTCAGCTAAAATCCAGAAACAGGAGCATCACTAGCAATTTCTCCCATCTGGCCATCATGGCACCCAGATTCTGGCTCTCTGGGATCCTCTGAGCCCACACGCTTCCCTCCGCCTTCACAGTCAGCACCTACTGTCCTGATCATCCCTCGAAGCCAGGTTCCCACCTGCCGTCTGCTCCCCTCAGTCCTGCTCCACACAGGAACAAGAGTGATCTTTCAAAACCAGAAGTACCACCCTGTGACCTGCCTTCAATGGCCTTAGGATGACGTCCAAACTCCCTGCTCTGCTTCATGATCTTAAGTCTACTACCCTCTGCAGACCCACTTCTCGCCCTCTCATCTGTCTTTCTGTGGCTCCACCACAGGGAACAGCCTTAGTATTCTGAACGTGCCATGCTCCCCGCTTTTCCTCTCCATCCCAGCACATTCCGCTACCCCCGTCTGGACACTCTTCCACCGTTAATTTCCTGTTTCTTTGGTTTTGTCCAAAAAACCCAGACATTCCAAAGTCACCCTCTGTGTGTCATTTATGGGAGCTCCTGCATTTTGCCTGTACTTATACTGTCCCATTTGCTGCCTGTCATGATGTAGTATAATCTCCTATTTACTGATCTTGGCTTTGGGCTCCTTAGGACTGCAGTAAGTGGACTGCTCATGTATCTCCAGCCCTTGACACACAGGCACAACAAGCATCCAGGAAATATTTATTAGAGGAGTAAATAAGTTGATTCTTACCTCTCTCTCCTGTTTTTTTCCAATTTGTCTTTCAAAATCATAATTTCCTTGTTGAGGGCAAGTTGCTGGCCTTCTGAATCATGAAGCTCCTTCTTCAGATTTTTTATTTCATTTGCATGTATTCCTTCTCTTTTAGACAATTCTTCTTCATAAAAGATACTTTTCTTTTCTAAATCAGTCTTTAGTTTGGTCATCTCTTGCTGATGTTCTATGCTGCACAGTCCTGGTGAGTAACTAATTTGTTTTTGCTATAGAAGTAATAACAAAAAATCGATTCATCTATAAGAATAATAAAATATCAAATAACTTTTCTATAAATAAAGAACTGTTCTTATAGTTCAATATTATTTTTGTATATTATCACATAAATAAAACTTTTTTTATTAAAGCTATTCACCTTTTTTGGCAATATGTTCCAAATAGTTTTCTCAGTATGTATTCCCTCATTGTGTTGTGTTTTACAGCAGATTATATATCTGTAATTTCTGCTCATAGTTATATAATTATTTGTTTATATTTATATTTCTAATGTATACAGAATTATTGTTGGTGTATGGAGTGAGAGAAAAATCTAACTGGATCCTATTTCTGATGTGGAACCAATAAAGAATTTTAAGTATGTTTGTGTCTTAAGAAGATTTAGTGGGGTAGGGAATGACAGAGCTAGAATGTACAAAAAGCTTCTCCAATGGTCCAGTGAGAAAGACAAAGGTCTAATCAAACATCTTCACGTCCACTAGAAAAAATGATAGGTTTCTTGGCATTTAGGTAGGGCATTAGGGACAAGAAATTTAGCTGAAAGCCAATTTTTTTAGAAATTAGGATGAAATATATTCTCAGTAATAAAGTGCAAGGAAAATGCAAAGTCCAAAGCATCCTCCAGACAGTGGCTAAAGGGTGAGCAGAAACAGACAGAGATTATGTCTTTAGACCTCCTGAGCTTTGGAACGTTTCTGTGACTCTGCTATAGGCTATTTTCCCAGGTGATCACCAATAAAAGTTTTAGAACCCAAAGAAACTATGGGTTTATGTCATGCTCTGGAGGACACTGTGTCCTTTTATGAAAACAGTTTTAAGGGCTGAAAACCTATTAACAGAAGTCGATTTAAAGTTGAAAGAAAACTATCCCCCTTCTTCACATTTGAGGTACATACTTTATTTATTTTTTAAAAATTTTATTTTATTTTTTCAGTGCTACAGAATTCATTGTTTATACACCACACTTTAAAAGAAAAAAAAGAAAAGCCAGACACACCCATTGGGCTGGAGAACTGTCTCTGGGGTACCCACTGTACTATCTAACCACTGACTACAGCAGTACTGGTGGCATCATGCCTACTGCACGCCAAGACTCAGACCATCTGGCATCATGGGGGCAGCCTGGCACACAGTGCTCCGCCAGAACCGGGAGGAGCCACAGCAAGTATGACTCTGGCTCTCTGTGTCACCACAAAATGAGGCCTCACTCAACAGCTGTGGTCCTGACCACTTACCTATATGGCTCTCTCATTTTTTTCATCATCTAAAGAACAATTTTAGTTTGCTGTTCTGGTTCGTGTAGTTTGGCTGTTGGGGTAGCAGCAGCATACACTGGCATTTCAAGCAAAAGTTACCCTGATATCAAAACCTAACAAAGATACCACCAGAACAAGTCATAGGCTCAAGTCACTTGTTGCTAAGAATGTAAAAAAAGTCAAAATAAAATGCTGATAAAATAAAACTGTATGTTAAAAAAGAACAATCTACCCCAAAAGAATAGGTCTTACTGCAGGTATTAAAGGTAATTTAATACTAGTAAACTTGTTAATAATGTACAAAGATGGCATTATGTTAATGAATTAAATTAAAATAAATCCATACAATAATCTCAGTAGGTACCCAAGTCCAAAAACATTTGAGAAAATCCAATACCCATTCCAAATACTAGCCCGAGTCCTACAATAAGACAAAAAACAAAAACAAAAACAGTAAAGTGATTCTTCTTTACCCATTTTCCAGCTATCAGACAAAATAATACCTACTGGTGAAGCACCAGAAAAACATACAAGAAACTAAGGAATAATTACAAAGATGGGGTCTGTCATTATTCCTTACTTAGTTTTTAGGTATGCTGTCTGAGCAAGTAACATGTGCAATAGTTATAAGAAATGAGTGTTAAAAAGAAAAGTTATAAAACCATTCTAATTTCCATAGAATTGTTTGCCCACAAAATGTAAATAAATCCACTAAAAAGTGTTATAACTGATAAAGCTGAGTAAAGTAACTGCAGGTAAGATAAACACAAATCAACAATACTTCTCGGGAGCGGAATGAGCAATAACAAAACACAGTAAAAAATTTCATTGTTAATAGCAAAAACAATCAAAGAAAAATTATCAGAAACTAATACATGCATGTGAAGAATAACAATAGTGAGTAATCTGAATTATATGAAGAAAGGGTAAGTCTTTTATAAAAGACGTAAAAGACTTGAAACAAAATAGAAAAATACCTACTACTTGACAGATTGAATGCACAGGTATTTAGTATTTCTCGTTATATTCCTTGTAAATATAATTAAACAATTAAATATAGGAGATGGCACACAGGTGTTGCTGTGTATCAGAAAAATACACTTGTAAAAATGCCAAAGAAAATCCTGGGGGAAAAAGGGAGTAAAGAGGAAGAGAGAAGAATGTTCTTTTCAGATATTAAAACATACTGTACAAACCTTTAATAAAAATCTTAGTGTAATAGAGCTCTATCCCAAAGTAATTTTATTCAATATACGAGAAATCTTCAATAACTGAGGAAGGCAGTGACTAACTTATGGAATTGGAACTGCCAATTTAGCAACAAAAGAACAAAATGATTCTCACAACATCCCGTCTAGCAAAACGAATTCCAAGTAACTTAGATTTAAATATATTTAGAAGCATACAGAAATATAATTGACTAGAGTTAAATATTTTTAACTCCAACAGAAACATCCAGGAAAAGGCAGAATCACATACTAAACAAACTGAGAAAAGGACAAGCCAAGCTCTGAAGCAATAAAGACACACCGAGGAAAGTAAGAACAAACCTCCTGTGATTTGAAAAGGAAACAAGACCAAAACTAAAGGGCAAATGATAAATGAATTAATAGTTGTGGACAAATGCAATAAGTATCATTTTCACTATGTGAGGAGTTTATATGAATTGTAAGAGAAGCATTCAGACTAAAATTTAAAAAGGCAAATAAGGGAATAATTCACAAAGAATTAAATTTAAATTTAAAAAGGCAAATAAGGGAATAATTCACAAAGAAAAATATGATTAACAAACAATCTACTAATAAGGCAAGAAATGCCTCTTTTTATACTTGCAACAATTTGTGGCCTGCATCTAGTGCCTGAAAGTGACCTGACAACTTCATTTCCAGGTATCTGTTCTAAGAAATAATACTAAAAAAGCAATGCACAAAAGTATTCGTGGTAATGACAGTGTTGCTGAAGTGAAATGTAAATATTCAATAGCAGAGAACTGGATTGAGTGGATATCCTTCGTAATCATTAAAACTCTGTGACAGTTATGTAATGAGTGTAAATGCTTATATCACATAAAAAGTAAGAAAGTGAAAAATACACATGTTAAGGGTTAAATTGTGTCCCTCCAAAATTCTTGTTAAAGCACTAACCACCAGAACCTCAGAATGTGATATTTTAAAGAATGGTCTCAAATACTGAATGATCTGACTTACGCATGGAATCTAAAAGTTAAAAACTCTTGGGAGCAGAGGGTAAAATGGTGGTTGCCAAGGGGGGAGCAGGGGCAATGGGAGAATGTTAGAAAGGTACTAAAATTTCACACAGGTAGGATGAGTAAGTTCTGGAGATCTAAGGTAAAGTTCCATATACTTGAAATTTCTACAAGCGTGGATCTTAATTGTTCTCAGTCAAAAAAAAAAAAAAAAAGACAAATAAGTGAGGGCATGAGGGTATGTTAATTAGCTTGTTGTGGTACATATTTCACAATGTATACATATATCTAGACACCACATTTTATATCTTAAATATATACAATTTTTATTTGTCAATTACATCTCAATAAGGCTGGAAAAAAAAAGAAAAGTAGGGTCTGTACAGTGGTAACTGACTTAAAACAGGTCGTTAGGGCGGGCCCTTTCCCAATATAACAGCGTCCTTATAAAAAGAAAAAAATCTGGACTCAGTCTTGCACCCAGGGAGAAGGCAGCAATCCAGGTGATACATAAACCAAGGAATCCAAACCATCAGAAATCAATCCTGGCAACACTTTCATTTCAGACATCCAGTCAGAATAATTGAGACAATAAATTCTCGTTTCTTAGGCCACCCAGTTTGTGGTAATTTGTAGCAGCCCCAGCAAACTAATACAGCAGGGTAAAAAGCTCTTGTAGCATATGATCACAAGAACTGAAAAGTCTTTTGTTTTGTTTTGTTTTTTAAAAAACAGCCTTACTGAGATACTATTATCATACTGTGCTATTAGCCCATTTAATGTGTACAGTTCAATGGTTTATGTAGTTTAATTTTAAGTAGTAAAATACATATACCATAAAGTTGTGCCATCTTAACTATTTTAAGTGTAGAATTCACTAAGTATTAATTACATTCAGAATGTTGTACAACCATGATCACTATGTATTTCCAAAACTTTTTCATTATCCCAAAGAGAAATTCTCTAACCATTCAAGAATAGCTCCCCATTACCTACACTACCTGGTAACCTTGATTCTGCTTTTTATCTCAATGAATTTGCCTAGATACTTCATTCAAGTAGAATCATACAAAATCTGCTTTTTTTCTTTTTTTTTTGCCTGGTATCTTTCACTTCGCATAAAGTTTTCAAGATTCATCCATGTTGGGCCACGTATCAGAGAGTCGCCCCTTTTGACAAATGAATGATATTCCACTGCATGTAAAAACTATATTTTGCTTCTGCATCTCTTCATGGACACTGGAGCTGTTTCTACCTTCTGGCTATTGTAATAATGTTTCAAAAAACACTGGTGTACAAATATCTCTTTGAGACCCTGCTTACAATTCTTCAGGGTACATACCTAGGAGCTGAATTGCTGGGTCATGTGGTAACTCTATGTTTACCTTTCTGAGGAATAACCAAACTGTTTTCACATCCTTACAAAGACTTGCTTTGTTCCTCCCTCCCTCCGCCCAATTTTAGCTATCCTAGTAGGTGTGGAGTGGTCTCTCCAGGTTTTAACTTCATTTCCCGAATGACTAATGAT